TTGTGCCACATCTAAGTTACATTTAGTAAGTCACCATACGTATGTGTATAGGCCCCATACATAAAAGTAACTAGTGTCACATCTTCACGTAGTAGGGGGAGAAGTCAGATACATATTTAACTTTTTTGATGCTTTTGTCACTAGAAAGAAAACTATTAATTATTATATTATTATTAACGTACAGAAAACATATTATGAGTTAATAAAAGCTTATTATAATTATTGGCAATAAAGCCTACAGTGATTTAAAAAACCGCAAATATGGAGCATCCAGTAAGGATCGAACCCACAACTCAGTTGTAATTGATCTAGCGAGACACGTTTGCTAACTTTTTACATCCCGTCGAAATGCCCATAAGTTCATACCAATTTACGAAGCGTAGCTTAAATATGGCACAAGGCTGCAAGTATGGGGCACCCTGTTAGGATCGAATTCACTACTCAGTCATAATTGATCTAGCGAGACAAGCTTGCTAACTATTGCATCACGACGAAGTGCCCCTAAAGTTTGTAGCGAATTACTAAACTTAGCTTAGATATTGCACAAGGCCAAATGTAACTCGGCTCTGTGCCACATTTTGTTCGATAGGGCGTACAGATTAATATCATTTCACCTTAAAAACAATCTTTGTAAAATAGCTAACTGCAAGGACCAGGATTTTGTTATAAAGCGTTTGGCATCAACTGCCTCAAGCAGGAAAAAAGTCCTTTGAATTGGAAACCAGAGGCAGAACTGCAACGACAGTGGAAAAACAATTCTGGAAATCAGTTTTAAGTTGGGTCACTTACTATAAACGGAGAAAAGCATTAGTGGGCAAATAGCAAGGGAAGTATTGTCATTCTATTAAAAGCTGATGACTACTAACTGAAGAATAAAAAAATGGACATCAGAAATGCTAAATAACCGACTGTACATTGACAACGTGATTTTGAAGGAAATGAAATTGGAACAAAACAAACATAGCCATAGGACTTTAGGACACACATGAGAAAATTATCTAAATCTGTTGCAAATGATCAAAATTATTAACTAAAGATGATAAAAATTAACATTATATATATATATATATATATATATATATATATATATATATATATATATAGACAGAGGAGGAGAGCGTGAAAAGCTTTTTTTTTGAATTGGTTGACGCTGACGGACGTATTTCAATAAGAACAGTCGGACTGCTGGTTATGTAATGACATTTGTAATGTCGAAGTGTGTAGCACGACGCTTTTAAGGAGGCAGCCTGACCCCTCTGGAATCAGGTCGGGGTTGCTGTTTGAGTCGATAAGATGCAAAACCCGAAATCGGCGATGAGGACAGTGCATTGCTGAAGACCAACCTTGATGCATTTAAAAATGTATTATACAATATATATATATATATATATATATATATATATATATATATATATATGCATGTATGCATTATTTGATAATTAATAGGGATAATTCCACCAAAAAGGATATAAATCCAAAGAGAGCTCAATGTAGGAACAGAGCAAATATAATGATGAAAACGGAGTCCTTAGAAATACATCGGTAATAGTTTATTTCACGCACCAGATCGATACTGAATCAACAGACTAAGAGATTTTAAAACAATAAATGGATTTAAATTTATCCAGACACTAGCAAAAATAAATAAATTAGAAGAAATGAAAGAAAGAAGGAAAGATTATGAAACACGATAGAGATTTGAATTATCCTATTAATTATCAAATAATATTATTATTTATTTCCCCCATATATATATATATATATATATATATATATATATATATATATATATATATATATATATATATATCTTCTCCCCCATCCGTGTCTTTATATATCACTCTCACTTCCCTCATAGGAAAACTTTATTTAAAAAATCTGTATCTTATTTTATAACTTTTTTTTTTTTTTTTGCTTGTGTCTGGATAAATTTAAATACATTTATTGCAAAAATTTCTTTGTTTGATGTTTCGGAATCGATCTGGTTCCGTGAAATCAACTATTACCGATGCATTTCTAAGGACTCCCGTTTTCATCATTATCTCTCTCTCTCTCTCTCTCTCTCGCTCTCTCTCTCTTTCTCTCTCTCTCTATATATATATATATATATATATATATATATATATATATATATATTATATATATATATATATATATATATATATATATTATATATATATATATATTACAGTAAGCTTCGCTCTATAAGGCCCTGGGGGATACTCGATGTAGAGGGTGACAGTACGAGGCAGTTATGTGGATAGGAAGGGAGGATAACGCTTAACTCTAGACTTGATCAGGTTAAGATTGTAGTGATCGGGGGAATATCCCACAGAGCAGTGGTTCGCGGGAAGAAGCTGTTTGAGTGGAACTTATTTCTCATCAAAGAATTACGGTGGCAATGTGCGTGATTTACTACAATGTGAGCGGCATGATATTTCTTTTATTTGTGTTACAACTAAGTATGCGTAATCGAAAAGACTTTACAAAGGAGAATATGAATTTACAAATATGACAGATAACGTTAACCAGATGGATAATATCAAAATTATTATTAAAGAGCGTAATAAGAACTAGAAACCTTGATTAAAATAAGAGTTTTAACGAAAAAATGATGATTCAGTGCTGCGTTCGTAAGGAATAAAGAAAAACCAGTGATATGAAATCAGTTGCAACATAAAAAAAAGACCATTAAATACAAATTTCTACTTCAAATTCCTTGGTGTAATTAAATACGAATCAATAAAACGGGATAAAATGAAGGAACAGATAAGAAATAACACACTCAGGAGAAAAAGAAAAACGAAGCTGAACATTAGAAATTTAATAAAAGGAACAAATACATGAGTACACTCAGAAGAGAACTGTTAAGTTATATATAGATTTTTCAAGCGAATCTTAGATGTAGTACAAAGCCGAAAGTAGAAGGTACCCAGTCGTAATTGTTTTAGCGAGACAAGCTTGCTGAACATTACACAGCCCGGAGGTGCCCAAATCGCCAGATTATATAGGGTGGAAACATATATAGTCATTTTCCAAATGTAGCTTAGATGTGGCACAAGGCCGAAAGTATGGGACACCCAGTGAGGATCGAACTCACTATTCAGTCGTAATTGTTCTAGCGAGACAAGCTGGTAACCATTACAAAGACCCGAGCTGTCCAAATCGCTAGATTATATATGGTGGAAACATATATAGTGTTTTTCCAAGCGTAGCTTAGTTGTGGCACAAGGACGAAAGTATGAGGATCGAACTCGCTATTCAGTTGTACAAGCTAAGAACCTATTTCTTACATTTTACAATGTATATGCCATGTCTGGTGAAAATTGGTTGGATGGATCTCGAGTGAAAAGACAGACAGACAGACAGACGGACAGACAATCCTTTGTTTTATGTATCTAGATAACATTAGACGACAAAGAGTAAATGCCTTAGATTATTGGTTACTAGAAGACACCTAAAAAGAAAACTGGAACTTTTTTTCATTGCTGCACAGAACAAATGCATAAGAAAATATGTCAATGGAAAAATCAGAGAAAAAGCGCCAGATGTCTTTGTAGAGAAAGCTATATTGCTGTAAAGTGTATGAAAATCGAATGCAGAAAGATGGCTGAAAAAGGAATTAAAAACAAACAAACAAACATGCACAGGAGAACAATGATGCACCAGGACTTGCGCAAAAGTCTTAGGTTCAAACACACATCAGACAATATTCCCCAAGTTATTCGTAGACTTTGTTATTACCTAGTCTAAACAAGAAAACCGGATTTACTATTATGAACAAGAAAACAAAAACAAAAACCTGCCAGTATCATAAGTGGAGCTTCCTCTGGCTCAACCAGAGAGTCTAGAGGTATAATAATAATAATAATAATAATAATAATAATAATGATGATGATAATAATAATAATAATAATAATAATAATAATAATAATAATAATGAACACCACCCAGACCCGGTTTCGGAGATAGGACCTGAAACAATTTTATGGGACTATATAATAAACACAATCAAATCTAACTGCCCAGGCATTGTTATTAGAGACCGCAAACAAAAAAACTTGTCCCTTTATTGATATGGCAGTCTTTGCAGACTGCAATGTATCTTTGAAGATCTTCAAAAAGCTATCAAAATACAAAGACCTTGAAATCGAAATCTTAAAAATGTAGCACATGAGAACATCAACAATCCCTGTTGTATTTGGAGCCCTCTGATTGGTTGGAAACGATTCCAATAGATTCATTCAAGGGATTCCTGGAAGTTCATGACTTAAAGAAATACAAACAATTGTTCTTACGAGTACAGCCCACCCCTTACGAAGGGCTTTATCTATGTAAAATATGTGCTTTTTTTTAAATTGCTCAGTGGGAAATGTCATAATGCGATTTCTAACCTTACGTCTCTGAGCGGGATCCGGAAATAAATGTGTACACACTAGAAATCAAGGGAAATAAAATAAAATAAAATAATAATAATAATAATAATAATAATAATAATAATAATAATAATTGTAAAATACATATTGTTGGTTAGGTAAATTTGATTGACTGTCCTTCAATTTTGTAATTTTCATCGTTTTACAAATGCCAATAATTCCGAAGTAATTTTTAGGTTTTTAGTTTGTACATAAAAATCGATTTTTATTCACACAATACATACAGGTTATTTGTTTTAGATCCACAGCATTATTATTTTATTGTTTTAGATACACAACATTGTTTTCCCACACCTTTACAATTATTGCAATGCAAAGTACAGCATTTTATTCATTTTCTTCCTTCGATATTATTTTCTCTTATTCTTGCCATCACTTTATTTTTTTTCTAATTTCGTCCTTTTTATTTTCTCATTTTGTATTGTTAATTTCTAATTTAGAGTTAGTTATTTCTTTAATTTTACTTCTTTTCTGTTGTTTTGTTCCTCCATCTTTATTCATTTCACTCTGTTTCCCTTCAATTTTTTTCTACATCTCTTTTAATTTATAGTCACATTACTATAGCCTTCTTCTGAATTTCCTCTCTTCTTTATTTCTGTTCATTTCTATTCATTCACTTTTCATTTATTTTAAAACTTTTCCATCTTCCTCATTAGATCGTTTGTTTCTTGCCCCTCGTCTTCTTTTTCTTTCTTTCTTTTTTTGTTGCTTTGATCTTAAGCCTTTCTTCAATCTTACCTTCTGTTTTCCTCTCTCTCATCTTTCTACCCTATCTGCAAACTACCTGACACCACCCAAACCTTTATTCTCCTATCATTTCCCTGTTTGTCCAGCAAGGCCGACCGCCTGTCCAGACAGCCAAGCCATGAGCAAGCAATCTAACCTTGTCCAGTCACCTTAAGTCATCTCGACTCAGTGCAGACCGTTCCAGTCCAATCGAGTCCACTTGAATCTCGTTCTTCCCAAGTCAGGGCTAAAATCTCCAGTTAATGGTCAAGATTCAGACGATATCGACCGTGTCCGCAGTATGATTCAGCAATCTGTCTCCTGTTTGTCGGCATGCGGACACTCTCACCAGCCGAGATGACCGTACAATCCGTCCGCCATCTTAATTCTTTGGTCCAACTGGGAATTTGAAACGTCCGTTTGCCACGCAACTCGATCGTTTAACTTTCTCAACAGAAGCGACGTCTTACAGGGCTTCAGCTTCGGACATAAACGAGAGACTGATAGCGAATTATATATATATATATATATATATATATATATATATATATATATATATATATAGAGAGAGAGAGAGAGAGAGAGAGAGAGAGAGGGAGGGAGACAGGGAGAGAGAGAAAAAAAAGGAAGAATATATAAAATGAGATGGTTAAAGATGAGTAAGTAAAGGAGTGAAAGACGTGTTATTAATAATAGTAAAATTTCTAAGAAACCAAAAGTTAACGTTTGAAAACAAGGCGCAGTATAATAAAAACGACAGAGAAAACAAAAATTAATTAATTAAATAGATAGATAGATAGATAGATAGATAGATAGATAGATAGATAGATAGATAACAAACCGACGGTTATAGATAGATAGATAGATAGATAGATAGATAGATAGATAGATAATGGAATGACTGAGATAGATAGATAGATAGATAGATAGATAGATAGATAGATAGATAGATAACAAACAGACGGTTATAGATAGATAGATAGATAGATAGATAGATAGATAGATAGATAGATAACAAACCGACGGTGATAGATAGATAGATGGATAGATAGATAGATAATAGATAGATAGATGAGATAGATAGACTGAGATAGATAGGATAGATAGATAGATAGATAGATAGATAGATAGATAGATAGATAGATAAGGAACAGACTGAAATAGATAGATAGATAGATAGATAGATAGATAGATAGATAGATAGATAGATAGATAGATAGATAAGGAGCTAGAGCAAAAAGAACGATAGCAGGAGAGTCTGGTTCAGAATAGTAAGATAAAGACTGACAGAAAGATATGAGGAAAGCAATAATAATAATAATAATAATGCTAATAACACTGAGCTTTTGAATTGTGACATTAATAATGTCACAATTCAAAATCTCAGTATTATTATTATTACTATTATTATTATTATTATTATTATTATTATTATTATTATGAAAACTTTTGTGAAGAAACAAGAATTAGAAACTGACGGCTTTTCAGAGGTAAAGTAAAAAGGGTCATCGAGGAAAAGAAACCGATAGATAGAGGAGAGAAAGAGAAAAGAGATAGAGAGAAAAGAAGAAAGAGAAAAGAGATAGAGAGAAAAGAAGAAAGAGAAAAGAGAAAAGAAGAAAGAGAAAAGAATGAGACAGATATGGGATCAGTGAAGAAACAGAATATATTGTGGATAGGATGGGATGCTGGTTTATGTCTTGAAATTTGAGGGAAGCAAGGCTAAGAACTGGTTGCAGGAGTTTGGGAGGTAGAATGAAATGGAATGAGATAGCAGAAAACGCATGCATATTTATTTCGACATACTTATATATGACTTATATCCGGCGAAAGTTATAGCGGATTAGCGGAAAGCCTTCAATTGATGCGTATTTAAAGTCAAAGAGAAGACAACTGAAACGGTGGGCATTGGCCAATATTAATTAATTTATGCACTAGTCACGCGTATTCACTCCTAAACAGAGGCCAATGCACATATATGCTGACTTATGTGTGCAGGTATCTGTGTAAGTGTATGTACGCGTACGTACTTGAGCATATGTGTATCTCTTAATGTCATTCGTTATTCCTATGATGTAAGAAGCATTGAATACAATCACACTGAACAGTGGGCAATTCTAAAGCTTTTCTTAATGAAAAAGGCAAAGATGACTTGTGCTTGTCGGCTGAAGGCTGTTAAAAAATCAATGCATGCAAAGGAGCGAGAAAGTTAATAGTAAAAATATCCATGGCATAACCAAGAATGTAAATGATTTTACAGAGAGAAAGAAAGAAAAGCGAATAAAGATGTAGGCCAGAAACGAGAGAAAAATGATAACTAAAATTAAAATGGAAGACAGAAATATTTATTCTTTTATGTCTTCCATTTCATTTTTAGCGTAATTAAAGAAATAAAATGGTGAAAATCGGAGAAGTGTTAATATGTCAACGAAACTGTCGATCGATTTCGTCGTAATTTTAAAGTACATTTCCAGTACATGTTCTACATGTTCCAATTGGTAAATTCGCATTGTTTTCGATATTTTTGTGTTTTTGAATGAGTCTGTCCAAAGAAGAGTAAATAAAGCTACACAGTAAATTTTAACTTAGTGATAAAAATTAATTCATCAGTCAATTTTTAATTTAAGAAAAAAAAAATTATGATTTAAAAACAAAAACGACGGAGAGTTTGTTCCTTGCTCCTCGACTTCTTTTTCTTTCTTTTCTTGCTTTCATCTTAAGCCTTTCTTCAATCTTAGCTTCTGTTTTCCTTTGATGCATCCATGTCTTATTTTCCTCTCTCATCTTTCTACTCTATCTGCAAACTACCTGACACCATGCAAAGCTTTATTCTCCTATCATTTCCCTGTTTGTCCAGCAAGGCCGACCGCCTGTCCAGACAGCCAAGCCAATTTTATGGGACTATACAATACACACAATCACGAAGGTGTACACATTTGTAAAATAATTTAGATATTCTCATCCAATAACATGAAACTGCAGCTTTTTTCACTTTGAGATTTAAAAATCAACTTATTTACAGTTGAACCTTTATTGTTACGATCACAACGTTTCGGCCGTTATGAACTTCGAACTTCTTCAGATATTAGTCGATTGGGATAACCTCTACAGAATTTAAATATGAACTCTTTATTCAATCTATGGCGATAGATTGTTCTTATTCCGCTGTCTATATCAAGGATATATGATCTTGATTATTTTTCTATTATATATCATCTTCTTTCCACCTTCTTTTCCAGTATTGTTGTACTACCCGGTTCGAAGATTGAACTCACAATATTCATTTAATCGAATTAACTAACCAATCGTGTAGGCCAGTGCTTCTCAACCTTTCTCAGTCTATGGACCATTTTTTCTTTAAAAAATTCAAATGGACCACTCCTACTTTTACTTTTAGGCTGTTCAATTTTCACACTAAAATACTCAATGAAAAGACAAAGTCGTCTATTTGCACTTTAAAATTGATTTTAGTAAACAAGGATAAACACAGGATATCATAATCAATTTTGATGATATCATTCAGACTTAATACATTCAACTAGTAACTACCCTAATCTTGGTGTTTCTGACACAAGATATCATAATCAATTTTGATGGTGTCATTCAGTCTTAGTCTGAGAGTTCATCTGCTGTTGAGATCTGATTTATTTCTTTTTCTACTGAAAACATCCATAATAGCCGAAGATCCAAATTCCACCATCCATGATGTAGGGAAAGAAATGGCTACAATTTTTGTGGCTACGAATTCTCTGTGGACCACTAGAAATGCTATGTGGACCACGTTGAGAATCACTAGTGTAGGCCATTGTCTTGTGGGACAGCATGAGCTAGGAGTTTCTCTCTCTCTCTCCCTCTCTCTCTCTCACGTCTCAAATCCTCTTTCTTTTGTTTGCCTTCCTTTTGATAATCTCAATGTTATTAGTTGCTGGTATTTCTGGCGCAAGATGTTCTTCCTTTCTTAATGGCTCCCATATAATATTTATATCTATGTCTAGCTTAGCATATGCGCTGATTCTTCTATGTTCTTCTCTATTTAGTATTTTTAGTTCATTCCATAGAGAGCGAAATCACGTTAAAAGTGTGCGGCGGTGTTAAATCAGATAAAGAGCAACCTCGGTTCTCGAACGTCTCACATGTCGAACAAATCGGTTTTCGAACAAAAAAATCAAGATGAAAATGCCTCGGTTATCGAACAAAATTTCGGTTCTCGAACAATATTGCCGAACCGAGCCGAACCGAGTTAAGCCGAACGGAAATATTTTTGAGTCGACCGTCTTGTATACATTCATATTTTGTGCTGTGCTTTTCTTTTCCAATTTTATTGTACTGTGCTTTTTTTTTATCTTCATTAGTCCTCAGTCATGGCTCCAAAGAAAGCTCTCAGTGATGCTGAGAAAGGAAAAAGAAAAGTTTAGAGAAAAACAATTATTGATGATATTGTCTCTTCCTATTCATTTTAGAATGTCAAATGCTTAGTGTGTCAAATGCTATATACTATTCTTATAAATAAAGCGACGATCATGTCTTTCCTTCCTGTTTCCAAACAATAACATCTCTTTCCTTCCTCTTCCACTTACACCATCAACTCTCCGACTTATAGGTACGGTAAAATTAAAATGTTTGTCTATATTTTGTCTGTTTAGTATTGCGTTTATTTATTTTTTCTTAGATTGAATAATTTTCATTAGTTTTGTGTATAAACTTGTGCACAAAGTACAGTTGTTAAAATTTAAATAAACATCTTGGGACCAGGAACGGATTAATCCATTTTACATTGATTCCTATTGGAAAAATAGTTTCGGGTTATGAACATTTCGGGTTACGAACGGGTTTCAGGAGCGAATTAAATTCGTGAACCGAGGTTCCACTGTATTATTCAGTGTTAAAGTTTCCTGATTATTCTATATTTCTTATCTGAAACATTCATTAAATGATCATTTTTATAATACTGGATTTAACAGAAAAATTGTCCAAATCGTGTAACAGTAAAATTGTCCAATTGTTAGATGAACTGTTGTATCTTAGAAATATTAAAGCTCTGAACTGTTGTATCTTAGAAATATTAAAGATATCTAACTGGAATTCTCCAAGGCTTTTATAACACTATTGGACTCTTCTTTGAGCAATAAGCATGTATAATTACTTTCCAAGCTTAACAGAAGAATCGTGATGAAA